AGTATTACATAGATTTATAATGTTTTACAATTACATAGGACATTTGTTATGTAGAGTACATATTATTTTGTCATACGGATCACATTTTATTTTTGTATTCTCAAAATCATTTTTTTTACGCATAAACGCATTTTTCGGAATCACAATACATTGAGCTTGTGATTGCATACTATGGTTACTAATATACGAAATTCATAGATTAATAGAAGCTGCCCTTTTTTTTAACGAAACTATAATGTATTCTGGAAAGTATTTTTTTAAAACTCTATTAAGAATACTGATTAACAAGTAAACTACCCCTCTATTTCTATAACTTCAATTTCTTTTCTATTTAAGATGGTGTCATTACTTTCATTATTGTAAAGTAAATCTTCTTCAAAAATTATAAGTGATGAGTTTGAAGATTCCGATGGCAATGATGATGATAATGATGATGATAACGATAACTTTCTTGTTTGTTTAAATGCTCTGTATTTTTTGTATAAGCATACATTGGCATCGAAGACATTTTGCCGAATGAAATGAAAGAATTAATTGTAGGTTATTACAAGTAAAATTAACATTTACAATCGTTTGAGTTTGAATTGACTATTTTTTTTCAGGTTGGAAATCCATGGCATGACGTGAAAAATTAAAGCTCGACAGCCAATATTTATTAGATATTACTGGCAAACGGTTGTCGGCCAATATTTTTTCAGTTAATCTGACCCAATATAAAAATTTCAATATTGATATGAGAGTATTACCCAATGTCTGGTGACCGATTATTCATTTACCAATACTTCACTGTTTTTTGGCAGTATTTGCAGACATGGCAATTCTTAGGAAGCAAGATAGACTAAAAATAACGATTTTTTCTTTTTACCTAAGGGGAAAAAATCATGGCATACAAAAAGAGAGGCGTTTCATTACATACGTATGTTTATGTCATTTTGGTCCGCAACCGAGGCGTGCCTATAGAAGTTCTCACTTCAAAAAAAAATCTAGTATTTTTCTATTACTGTAGTCAGTCATTGTACAGGAAAGGCCAATTTATTTTTAAATCACATTTTGTTTTTTAGAGTTAATAGACTTCATGATATATTTTTTTATGAATTTGTGAATAAAAAAATTTTAAACGTAATTTTTTTTTTTGACCAATAATATTCACCAATGAACATCAAAATTATTAAATGGATTACCTTTCAAATATGAAAATATAAAATAAAGGCTGCTGATAAGAAAAAAAGTATACTACTACATAGAGATTAACACCGAGTTTAATTACGTTTTCTTTGATATTTCAGATGTATCATGGGTTCCAAGACTCACGTTTTTTTTATTTTTTATTTTGCTTTGTGTCACTATGTTTTTAATGCTTGTTATATATATATATNTCGTGAAACGAAAAAAATCCATCATCCAGGACTATAGGTACAGAACTTCCAGTAGATGGATTACGACATCTAGGTGGAGATAGGTCACAAATCATAATTACTCACAAGTGTCACAATCACAACACTCGGAGACTAAAGGTGATGAACAAAAAACAATAATAATAATAATAATAAAGAAATGTCGCATATAAAGAATGTTGTTAAGTTAATTATTCAGAGTCCCTTTCACCTCCTCAGAAATTTTTTTTTTCAGATTTTTAGCCTACGGTCCAAAAAACAAAATCTCTTGCGCCTTTTTATTAAAGTAAAAACTTTACAAGATGTTTATTCAAATTTCAAAGAAATGCCAAAATAACTATTTTCATCCATTCATAACACTATGAGAACCAACAACTTTAATGGTGCCAAAGTCTCAACAATACTGTAAAAATCATTAAAAAAAAAATTTAATATATATCTATAACTTTTTAGACTATTATAATTGATTGTTATAAACCCTGTCATAGGTGCTTTCCTAAAAAGTGTACATATATATGAACTGGAGAATACTTTTTAGTCGCTTGGGAAAGCCCAGAAGAGGGTTGAAAAATAAAGAGGTTAGGATACAGTAATAGCCTAAACGCTTGAAGATTATGTTCAAAAATTAAAACAACTAACAACTTTGGCAACATCGAAATTACTAGTTTTTCTCATATTGTTTTTCATGGATGAAAATGATTATTTTCGCATTTTTCCGATCTTTAAATAAATTTTATCTTAGAAAGTATCGGATTTAGAGAAAAAATGTAAGAAATTTTTTTTTATTAACAGTCTAAAGAACTAAAAAAATTTTTTCTAGGACATAGTTAACAATTGTCAATATTTGTTGCCAAATAATTCTTGATATAATTTTGGACCAACTTTTAAACCAAACAATATTCACATTTGTTTTTGACGGATCATTTTGCATAAAATCCCGGAAAAAATCGAACCCAAACATTTTTTCCGAAAAATTCTAGATAACGACCTAGAGTATTATAGACATTCATGCAAGTGAAATTCTTCGAGGACTCAAGTTAGTACACATAGGTATAGTAAGAGCGTGCGGTGGCTCAGTCGGCTAGGTCGTGGATAGGCACGCGGGAGACCGTGGTTCGATTCCCGGCCAGTGCGACTTTTCGAGCAAGTACCTCTGTAAGTCCTCACATGTGCTTTTTCACTACGCAGTGCTCCTCGAGGAGGGCTTAGGCGACCTTCTTGCAGCAATAATTGCCTAGTTTCCCCCTACTCACCTCCCAGTAATGGGAGGCTTCCTTATTGCTATTACAGTGATTATTCCTAGATAAATTAACAATTTATAGATAAAACAATAAGAACTGGAGCTTATTTTAGCCTACAAACTGATAAAAGTTGTTTGAAATGGAGAGAATGTATCCTCACTTACGTTATGTATTGTGACATTTTGAACCGAAATTTTAGTGATAGGTAGTCGAAAAATGTGAGATTCAATTTTTTAAATAGTTTTTATATTACAAATCCATATTTTCTCTGCCACCGCATAGACGACGATCACGCACGAAAAATTTGAGGTTATGATTCAAATTCTCCGTTTTACAGATAACTTAGATTGACAATTCTACTAAACTTTAATGTTTGTGATATGTCTAACTTCAGTAACATTGGAAAATACGAGAAAATGTTCAAATTTGTGGAATTATTCGAAAAAAAGTACGTACTCAATTCTGTCCCACTAAAGCTGAAGTCATTTAAATTTTATGGTAAAGTGGGACACATATGATTTGATCACCACATGAGAATAATTAATTTTTGTTAATTTATCACTTAAACTCTTACATTTTTTGTTGTTTTTCTTACAAAAGGTCTAGTAGAATAAAGAGAAATTTTTTGTTTCAAATAACAATTTGTTTAACGCTGTTTTCGATGCTGTTCCGATTTACCTTAAACATTTTTCGTGTCCCGAATCACCTGAATTTACCTTAGTGCCCTTATTAAAGGAGCCGGACGTAGAGCACACTATAATATAAAAAAAGGTATATAGATTTGTTATTGTATGCATAGACAACGTTGGTGGCGCTGCCGCCGCTTTTGCTGTACAAAACATATATAAGCGTCGTATAGGTGAGCGGGCAGCCAAATACCACTGTATAGGTTCTCCTGCTGGTGATACAGTACAGACTTACAGACTGGTATAGACACAGGACGTGTATACAGGTATTTATATAATTATAAAAGATACGTGATACGTCGGGCGGGCCCGTCCTACGAGCACTGCTCGTCGAGCAGCGCGAGCGTACGCTGCGGCAGTCCTCGACGAGCCGCCGAGCGTAAGAGGTGCGCCTTCTCTTACGTTTCTTGCTAGTAGTCTGCCGCTCTCCTACTCTACTAGTGCCTCTTGTACTCTGCGCGCGACAATCCACGAGTATCATACCTATCAATAGTTGACCGCTTGTCATGTAGACGGATATCAACCTACCTGTACCTACCTACTCCTCCGGGACTCCGCGCGCTATGTAACCTGTACTCACCATACAGGTTTTCACGCTGTACTTATATTCGAGAGTCGTGGATTCGGTTGGTCGGATGACTTCGTCCCAGCCCGACGCAATATCAGAAGGTTCGTTCTCTCGCTCCTTCTCCATTATCTTTCTCTTTCTCTTTTTTTCCTTTTCTTATCTCATCTAGCCTTCCTGCGCGGTGTAAGTAGTGGCCCTAAGTACTTATGTACATCCGTAGATGTGCAGCCTTTGAGTGTGCCTTGGCATATTTGCTCGGATACGAATTTAAATCCACGATACTTATAACGCGGCTGCTCTTTTAATCACTGGGGCAATTTAGCGCATTAGTGTTTTTTTCATCTTTCTAATTACGTTGATCAGCCTCTATCTATTTGGCAAATTGAAAAACAAAAACGACTACTAATTTTGTCCGTGTTATCTCATAACTATAGATTCTCGGTTGGCTTTATTCTTCTAGTGGCTAACATTGCGTGCGTTTCTTTATAAGTAAACAAAAAACTACTAACCACCAGCTCTCGCTCGAAGCAAACAGTCTGACGAGGTTTCAGTTACAGTGTACTTACAAGTACGCACTTTTTCTTCACAATTCCAGAATAATTTGCCACGGATCGGAATATCTGCCTATACTTGCCTGAGCGAAACATCGGTATGACCGGGTATCGTGCGTCCGTGGGGTGTGTAAAGTAGATGCAGAATATTTGTACACACATACTCATACACGCATATGAGCACTCATGGGAGAAAGTAAAAAGGCAGCAAAATATGCGTAGCACTGGTCTAAGAATGAGCAAACCTCGCAAGCATCAGCAAAGAATCGAGCAGTGACGAGCAAAAAAGAGCAACTGTAGCGGACCGAGGAAAAGCACTAGGATCCGCTCGACTGGGCAATCGGTGGGATAGAATCGTTATATAGCTTGCAAAATATTGGTCCTGTACCCATCTGCTTGCGCGAGTGACGGACTATCGTCACACCAGGTATTTTAGGCCTCGCTTCGCGGAAAAATCGGAAAGTGAAACCAAACTCTCGATTTCTTTCGACGGCTCGGCGCAACAATTGCCCCCACCGACAACTCTCTTAGCCAGGCGGCCCGACGATATCGGCCGACTGCTCGGAAATCCGAAAGTGATTCGAGGCAGGGTGCGGCCGGTAGTAGCTAGAGTGGAATGCCACCGATCGGCCGCTCGGCTTCCACTTGGTTTTTATTACTCGGAATCGTTGCATACCAGCGACCAAATTTAGCAACGCCCCGGCAACAGTGACAGTGTCGTCTACTTTTTTCCTCGCGGCGTTTTTCACAGCGCTTCAGAGAGTGCTTATCATTAGCGCGGAGTGGAAAATCGGTGAGATCGACGCGGTTCACCACTCGTCAGCTATACCGGTCGTCGGGCGTGACGCGATGCCGCTCGGTATCGGTGAAAACGTATCAGCCACTGGCGTCGTGGTCGTCGGTCGACGGATGGTGGAGGGCAACAGTGTCGAGTGAAAAAGTGCGTACGGGAGAAGAGCGCCTCGAGAGTCAGAGCGACGCACAATCCTCGCGGTTCTTTGTTTATCCACGATAGGATAAAAGGGCGCAGGGGCGCCGGGGAGAATGTCGTCGAACGGCGAGTTCTCGACGATGTCGAGCGAGGAGGTGCCATCACTGCCCAAGTCGTTGCCGTCGTCCCGCGAGGCGACAGCCGAGGGTAATTCGAGCTCCGCGGGGGCATACATGGCCCTGAGGGACTTCCTCGACAGATTCTCACTGCCGAGGGTGGTCCGACTCGAGGGTAGCGCCGGCAGACCAGTATTGCTCTTTAAACAGCAGCAGCGCTCACTCCGCGTCACTGCCAGTCTGCTGATGCATCGCTATAGACACGACGTCAAGGTGGGCCCCGAGATTGTCATCCCTGAGGGATACCCCGGTAAGTTTGTCTTTTTTTCTCTGATTTCCTTGCACCCCGAGTAAATGTATATATTTCTACTACGAGTGTCATGCGCAGCAAAGGTCTAAAACAATAGTAATCATTTTAAACAACTCAAGTTACGGAAAAATTAGTACGCTCCCTTCGAAGATGTGACCAAATAGTTAAGTACCTTATAACTGTGTATGATTTTTTCAAGAGTGATAACAATGGATATCACGCGAACGTCACAATAAACGCGCGCACGAGACGAGTACCCAAATTATATGCCTTAATACTTAACTTTTGACATTCCAAGTCATCGTTCAGAAAGAAAAATGACTTGTTAGCGCATTACCTAGTATGCCAAAACACCACTTTCACAAGCTGCTAGGGTAAAAACGCACTTTGCATCGTGAGGGCCGCGAAAAATAATTATTGTGTTAAGTATATTGCTTACCAGTTATAAAAATTATTGATGAAACTATAAACGTCCCATTTACGTGCGGCAGTAGTACTTATCAATAATCGGTACGACTCAAGTTTGAAAAATTTTTGGAAAACCCGCTTTTGGTCTAAAGTTTGAGCCTTAAATCGCGCAAAATCGAAATTACGAAACCAAATGGGACCGGAAATATCGGTGGGGGCTGAGATTAGTGCAGAAAAGCGTAGAGATTGATAGGCTAGCGATGAATTGCCAGTACAGTTTGTCCAGTCTGGACGATAAAATATCAGATGCGAGCACGTAATGAAATATATCTAGCAAGACCTCTGTTTCACGCCTCGGTACGCCGAAACAAGCACAAGCCCCGTATCTTGAACGCACGTATTATATACTAAGTATATACGGGTATATAACATAATATAGATGCCTTGTAAGACGATAGCATAAATATGTATAACACCGTACAACGCGCGGTAGAGCTCCAGTCTCCACTGTAATGCTGCCGAGGTTTTAGTACTTATCGTACATAAGTATTTATACTACCATAGTTTAGGATATGGAAGTGATCTGATCATTGCATTGTCATGCCTCACACTATTACTGCTTCAAGATGTGTGTCAGTGTGTCTCTGTATATATTTATGTATACGTTTATGTACACATGCATTCTCGATATTTAGGAATAACTTACTTGCCAAGAGTAATTTTACTCATTTTAGATCAGCGTACAAAGAATATATAATTATTTCAGGACAAAAGGAGGATACATTTCAACTTGAGAGTTAACTCAAGGGATATTTAACTTTTTGTATTATAATGAATATGAGATAAGGTATTGACTATTTAAAAACTTCAAAATTTGGTTACGAGTTCACTGAAAGAACGAGTAACGAATTACGAAATTTAATAAAACAGGCCTCAACGAGGGTCTTACAGTTTTTCATATAATTGATTTTTTGTGCTGCACTGTGTTCTAGTCACAAAATAACGTTATGACATTATTTTTAGAAAAAATTCTAACGTCAAAGCGTCAAACATCTAAAAAAAACTTTTTAGCAAGAAAAAAAATAAATTGTATGGATTTTTGGGGAGTTAATCAGGCATATTATATAATTTAAAAAATACATGTACGATACTTGTTTATTCTCCAATGTAAACCCCATTTAGATTCTCAAACTACCGATTCGTACGAAATTTTTTTATACAAAGTACAAGTGCGTTGTATGTTCTTTCAATAACAGCTTTTTTTTAGTACAAGCTGGGATATAATGGAAGGGGGCGAATCAATGGTATGCAAATTTACGCACACGTGATTGTGTACACACGCAACATGCACAAATGAGTACCCGAGGCATTTCGATTTCTTGACCGAAAACTTTTGCCGACAGACTTGTACTTCCAACCGACGAAGAAGAGAAACTTAAATTACGATTACAGCGAGTTACAAGATCTCGTTATTTACATCGACGTGAAAGTATTACGAAACGCGTCCTGGGACGGCCGGAGCCGACGAAAGCGCTTTTCGAAGAGTCATCGAGCGGATACGCTTCGATGGAAAAGAAAAGAAAAAAGAGCGCCATATGACTTTGGCACATAATATGCACGCTGCTTGTTAAGGCTCCTTCCTCTACTGGTACTGATGCTGCTGCTGCTATTGTAAATATTCAATAACTCTCGACGATTTATGTCTATTATTATTTTAGAAAATTAGCAGACTCTGCACAGCCATTTGTTTCCATCGTTAAAGAATAAATTCACGTTTTACTACTCATTCATTGTAATAATAAATACGTGTACGCTCCACTCGCTTAAGCCAGTCCCTCCATTGAACTGCTTTGTTTCACAGTACAGCAGAATGGAATAGAAGAATAGGTGAGCGCACAATTTCCATGCACGTTTCCATTTATGAGCACGTTAGACTTGAGCTTTTGATTTGAGGGTTAATTATGAGGGGGCAGTTTGTTGTCCTACGGTCTGGCAGAGTTTTTTATTCACCAGAAACATGCTGATATCAAAATTTATTATTAAAAAAGAGGTCCAATTAACGAGAGACATAGTAACGATTTCATTACTCTGTAAAATGTTTGTAATGAGCATTGTAGGTTAGCTTTTTAGAATTTTTGTTCCTTACAATTCCTATTGTCGCGGAAAAACTTTTTTTGGAATATCTAAGTAATACAATTAAATTAAGATGCTTACAGTAGCTTAACAATGTCAGCTAAAGTGCCAAAAAAATGGTAAAAATAGCAAAAACCAATTATTTGCGTTTAAAGCGATAAATACAGCTCTTATGTAAAAAAGTTGTGCACAACAAATATGCGCAGTAAAAAAATAAAAAGAATAAGTCCTGGATGAGAAAAATGGGATTGCTTGCAAATTGCAAAAAAAAACCTCTTTTTTTACAAAAATTTTTCAAAGAACTCGCGTTCTAATAATGCTACGAAACTGAAGTTTTAATTATTGTCAGTGTTACGATCCTGACGCTATATTTAAATTTTAATATCAAAATGTTGTAAACTTTTTGCAAATTGTCGACATTTGTAAAAAATTTCCTTTTTTTAACGTGACTGGGACGGAGTTAACATTTTCGAAAAAGGTTATACATTCGAATTTTATATGTGTTACGGAAAAGTTAAACTGCTAATATCTAAATTTTCAGATCCACCTGACAAATTCACCTTTGTTTAATCAATTAATAAAGAACTGGTATTTTTGGCGCGAGTGGCAGTAGTACGTGGTACGACGTCACCGTAGGCCAGTCAACGGAGGCTATGTAATAAAATTAATTGTCCGTAGATTTTTTTTATGTTACATGTGATTTGGATCACAGATTACGAAAAAAATAACAAAAATTTTTCAACTGTTTGGACAGTTTTAAAATTGTTTTTTAAGTTTTTGTCACTTGTATCCCGTTAACGTTAGTACATGAAATATATTCAAAAGTGCCAGCGGGTAGAGCGGAGAATTTCCCGCAGACTTATTTTTTTGTTGTTGCAATTAATGCAAATGATTTTTAAATGATATTATAAAATTCGTAATGGGCGTAATTCAATGAATACAAGCACAAATCCACCCTACCTACTGGTACTTTTTTATTTAGTAAGTATATATTTGCTACTGTCAACAAGATACAGGTAAAAAAAACTTATAAAACAATATGAAGCTGAAACTAGCAGACAAAGTTCAGCAGCGATACCGTCGAATAACAACTTATACCTGGAGTATCCTTAAAACTAAAACAGGTACCTTTTTATTTCACTGAATTAGAAAGGTACCTGGTTTTCTTTTAAGGGTACCCAAGTAGAATTTGTTATTTGACGATATCGCTGCTGGAATTTGTCTGCTAGTTTCAGCTTCATAAAACAATTCCAACATATTAAAAAATTTTTTTGTTATTTTTCCCATAACCTGAGATCCAAATCACGTGTAACATAAAAAAATCCATACAATCAATACAATCCATCCATAGCCTCCATTGACTGGCCTACGGTGACGTCGTACCACGTACCACTGCCACTCGCGCCAAAAATACCAGTTCTTTATTAATTGATTAAACAAAGGTGAATTTGTCAGGTGGATCTGAAAATTTAGATATCAGCAGTTTAACTCTTTCGTAACACATATAAAATTCGAATGTATAACCTTTTTCAGAAATGTTAACTCCCCCCAGTCACATTAAAAAAAGGAAATTTTTTGCAAATGTCGAAAAATTGCAAAAATTTTACAACACTTCGATATTAGAATTTAAACGTAGCGTCAGGATCGCAATACTGACAATATATTCAAATTTAAGCTTTGTAGCAGTATTAGAACACGAGTTATTTAATAAACAATTTCGGCTAAAAAGGGGACTTTCGCAATTTGCGAGCTATTCACTGGTCCGATTTTGTTCATTCTGGGCTCATACTCTTCGTTTTTTTTTCGCCCATTTGTTATGCACAACTTTTTTTTCGTAGGAGCTGTATTCATTGCTGTAAACGCAAATAACTGGTTTTTGCCATTTTAATCATTGTTTTGGCACTTTACCTGACAATGTTGAGCTATGAAAGTATTTTACTGTATTAGTATTGCTCTGATCTTTGAAAAAAAAATATTTTTGTGCGAATGGGAATGACCGACAATTTTCACGTTTTTTCAGCTAAGTCGACCCGTCTAAAGTCCCACTCCGATTATGGAGACTCGATAAGCTCGAGGAGGTAAGTGCGTATACAGAGCGTGCATGCATGGCAGCAACAAAGTTTTGTTTTTTTAGGATCGAAAAGTAAGTATCGGCACGGCACGTCACTTGCGCGGGGCGAGCCAAGGCGATAGATGAAGAGGATGGATTACAGCACCACGCGATGCGATTTAGGTGCGTGTGTGCATACAAGTACTTTTCTCGAGCTCTCGATACCAATGCCACATCCAGCGGCGGGCGTGCGTGCTGAAAAAGCCGATCATTATCGCCACACAGCAGCTACCGATGCCATGGCATGCTCTCGCGCCTGGGATAAGGATGATGATCATGATGATGATGACGATGACGACGACGACCAGACAGTTTTCCAAGCAGTGCTGAATAAATGTGTTATAGACTA